CTGGACCCTTCAAAGGGTCAGCAAGAATTAGTACAAACTAGGAAGTGACCATGCTCAAGAGCCAGTCAGCATTAACCGCAGCCCTGGAGTGAAGAGTAGAAACTCAGTGACACACTCAAGGCCTTGGCATGGTTCCCATCACGCCAGCCAGGCCTGGCCTGTCCTCTCAACATCCTGGGGGCCCCAGTCCCAATTAGGGGACTCTCCCATGTACCAGAGGACGGGCTAGGAAGACTGAGCTTAGCTCAGCAAGACAGTAACCAGGTCTTTACCGTGCATGGCCCAGCCATTGCAGGGCTCTTAGCCTGTTGGAGGCTGAGTCCATGTTACAAACAAGGAAAAAGCTCCAAGATCCTCCCATGCAGCATTAAGCAAAGGGCAGAGGGTGCCTGCTCCCGCAGGAGACTGCATGGTCCACAGCACTTAGGGAAATGCTAGCCCACCTGGAGCTCTGCTCAGACAAGGACACGGACACGGACATTTCTTGTTCCCGTGCGTTACCTTGGGCCGCTATTACAGGGAGAGAAACAGCACAAACAGCCTTCCATGCTGGAGAGCTGCAGAGGAAAGGCAGCTCCTTACAGCAGACATGGGCCTTCCTCTTTGCCCTCCCTCCCCCTGAAGGCTGTGGCCAGCTGCCAAGCCAGCTGCCCCGCTCTCCACACAGAGCAGAAGGGAAAGGGGACTGTGTGTGCAGGGAGCCTTTTTCCATCATCTAATGCTGTTGGACTCCAGCTGTTCCCAGAAGAGGACCTGCCCCATCTATCCACTAGGCCGCCAGCCCTTCAGCTGAGCACTGCACTGCCCATAGCAAGGCTCAAATGCAGCACTGCCAGCATGTTGGCTCAGCATGCCCCGGGGCAGAGACAGCCAGTAGGGATGCCAAGCATGGATGGTTGGAGTCCTGGAGCTTTTCACACAACAGTTTGAAAATTAGTCTTGGGGCAGCCCTGTTAGTCTGTAACTGTAAAAGTCAAGCCTTGTGGATAAGGGGGAAGTGGTGGACGTGGTATAGCTAGATTTTAGTGAGACATCTGACACAGTATTTCATAACCTTTTTATCAATAAAGTAGGAAATACAGCTTAGATGGGGTTACTATAAGGTGGGTGCATAACTGGCTGGATAACCATTCTCAGAGTAGTTAACAGTTCACAATCCTGCTGGAAGGGCATAACAAGTGGGGTTCCACAGGGGTCTGTTTTGGGACCGGCTCTGTTCAATATCTTCATCAATGATTTAGATATTGGCATAGAGAGGATGCTTATTGAGTTTGCAGATGATACCAAGCTGGGAGCAGCTGCAAGTGCTTTGGAGGACAGGGTCAACATGATCTGGACAAACTGGAGAAATGTTCTGAAGTAAACAGTATGAAGTTTAATAAGGACAAATGCAAAGTGCTCCACTTAAGAAGGAACAATCAGTTTCACATATACAGAATGGGAAGTGTCTGTCTAGGGAGGAGTCCAGCAGAAAGGGATCTGGCGATCATAGTGGACCACAAGCTTAATGAGTCAACATTGTGACACTGTTGCTAAAAAAGCAAACATGATTCTGGGCTGCATTAACAGGTGTGTTATGAGCAAGACACGAGAAGTCATTCTTCTGCTCTACTCTGCACTGATTAGGCCTCAGTTGGAGTATTGTGTCCAGTTCTGGGCACCACATTAGTTTAGAAAAGAGAAAATTGAGAGGGAATATGATTGCAGTTTTCAAGTATATAAAAGGTTGTGAAGAGGAATTAAAATTGTTCTTCTTGGTCTCTGAGGATAGGACAAGAAGCAATGGGCTTAAACTGCAGCAAGGGAGGTTTAGGTTGGACATTGAGAAAAACTTCCTAACAGGTTGGTTAAACACGGGAATAAATTGCCTAAGGGGGTTGTGGAATCTCCATCTCTGGAGATATTTAAGAGCTGGTTTAGATAAACATCTACTTGGGATGATCTCGACAGTGCTGGGTCCTGCCGCGAGGGCAGAGACTGGACTCGAGGGCCTCTCGAGGGCTTTCCAGTTCTAGGATTCTGTGAAAACCCACAAGCCGTCCTGTGGCACTGTAGAGACTGATCTGTTTGTTTGTTTCCAAGGTGCCACAGGCTGCTTGTATTTAACAATTCATCTTTAATTCCTGGAGATGCTGAGCTACTCCCAGAGAGTTGGCAAGCCTCCCCATTATCCCTGATGGCTCAGTGCCGTAAGGAGCCCAGGAACTCTGCTACTTTGGCCGTTTAGCTGAGTGCTGGTGAGGAAGGGGAGAGAATACCCCACTACAGCAGGCCAAGTCATAGAAACTGTATTTAATGGGCTGGTCTTTCCACTGCAATCCATTGCATTGCCAGAACTCTCTGCCATTTCCTTGCGGCTTGGCCACAGGCTATTGCCCAGGTAAACCCCTCTCCCCTCGTCTGAGGCCAAGCTTTGCCTTTTGCTGCAATAGGGATTTTGTCTGCCAGCCCCCAGCTGGCTCTTGTTCCTGGTGTAAAGCTCTGCACAGGCATGCAGCACTCAGCTAATGCTCAGGCTGACACTACAGCCGGCTGCTGGCCCTCACTCACCCTTCCACTCCTGCTTGGGAGGTGGAATCATTTCCTTATGTGACCAGTTAAGTTTTCAGAAAGTCAGACCCATGGTTTAAGGTGACCTCTCCCCACCACATGAGACCACGCAGGCTCCAGGCCGAGCCTGGGCGCTCTGCCTCGCAGCTGCTCCCTGCATTGCTGTCACAAGCAGCTGGGAATGGACACTGAGGAGAGGAGAAATTGCTGGCTGACCCGTTGTGCTTAGGGAAGCTCAAGTGAAAAGCTGTCTGAGCTAACGAACAAGGGCTCTAGCCAGCTGCTTGTAGAGGAGGCAGAGGCCAGTGAGGGAGCTGGGCCATCTCATGTGCACAACAAGGGGACTCGGGTTCCGCCTCCTCCCACGATACTGAGCTCAGCGCGAGCAGTAAGCCAGGCACTGCTGACAGGCGCAGCTGTGGGTTATGGGACTAGGGAGGTGCCTGCTATGCTCAGCCACAAGGCGTAAAGGGGAAGGCTGGCTAAGAGCAGCGTGGCTTGGCCGCAGGAAGGGGGCTTGTGACCATGGCCCTGCTTTCTGATGCGGGCAGTGCCTAAGGCAGACGATGGTGCAGCCCTTCTGGGGTCCTGGCTGGAAGTCACGGAAAGAGGAATTGGTAGGACACCTGAGGGGTGCACAAGCCCCCTAAAACTCATCCATTTGCACTGGCTTCTCTCTCCGCTGCCGAACTGTTCTGTAGCCCCGGACGGCGAGGCCAGCACTGACTGAGAAGGCCACAACTGCAACGCAGCCAAAGAGCCCAACGGCTATCTCTGCCCCGTGCACGCTGCAGCTGAAGCCTTGGTAGCCTTTGCTCCGGTAGAGCCGCTCTCGCTCTGTGCACACTGGCGAAGTGTAGGCCTCCTGCAGATGGTGGTAGTAGAAGTACAGAGCAGGGAGAAAGCCGAGTGCAATGAATATGTCCAGGCTGCCCTCTAGCAGCAGCCAGACTGGGAAATGCCATGGCAGCCGCAGCACCCCAACCAAAACCAGAAGGCAAGAGAAGGCCATCAGGGCCCCTCCCACAGCCATGGCTGCCCGGGCTGTCGGAAGCTTTAAGTGGTAGAACTGGGTGTCAAGTTGCTGGGCTTTTTCCCCCTCTGCTCCAGTAAAGCCACTGTATGCCCCTCCATACTGGTAGTAGTAAATGCCCCCCAGGCTGAGAATGCCGGTGTATCCGCCTGTCGAGCTGTAGGACACAGAGCCACAGATCAGGATCAGCAGGGTCAGCAGCACTTCCACCAGCTGGCAGCAAGCTGTAAAGATGAACAGTTCACAGGCCAGTTAGCAACACCCAGCCCCCCTGCCCTAAACTAAAAGGGACTGGCTTCTCCCACAGCAGTGCAGAGGCAGGAGGGAGGGCTTGCTTGTCTGGCAAGGAATTGAGTCCCACCAAGGGAAAAGGGACCACAGGACAACACACAAGCCCTCCCTTTTTCCCACCAGTTAAGAACATAATAATGGCCATACTGGGTCAGACCAGTGTCCTGTCTGCTGACAGTGGCCAGTGCCAGGAGCCCCGGAGGGGGTAGACCAAAGACAATGATCAAGCGATTTGTCTCCTGCCATCCATCTCCAGCCTCTGACAGAGGCCAGGGACACCATTCCTTACCCCCTGGCTAATAGCCTTTTATGGACCTCACCTCCATGAATTTATCTAGCTTTTTAAAACTCTGTTATAGTCCTAGCCTCCTCTGGCAGGGAGTTCCACAGGTTGACTATGCGCTGTGTGAAGAAGAACTTTCTTTTATTAGTTTTAAACCTGCTACCCATTAATTTCATTTGGTGTCCTCTAGTTCTTATATTATGGGAACAAGTAAATAACTTTTCCTTATTCATCCTCTCCACACCACTCATGATTTTATAGACCTCTATCATATCCCCCCTCAGTCTCCTCTTTTCTAAACTGAAAAGTCCCAGTTGCTTTAACCTCTCCTCATATGGGACCCTTTCCAAGCCCCAAATGATTTTAGTTGCTCTTTTCTGAACCTTTCCTAATGCCAAAATATCGTTTTGAGGTGAGAAGACCACATCTGTACACAGTATTCAAGATCTGGGCGTATTACAGTTTTATATAGGGGCAGTAAGATATTCTTTGACTTATTTTCTATCCCTTTTTTAAATAATTCCTAGCATCCTATTTGCTTTTTTGACCGCCGCTGCACACTGCATGGATGTTTTCAGAGAACTGTCCACATTAACTCCAAAATCTCTTTCCTGATTAGTTGTAGCTAAATTAGTCCCCATCATATTGTATGTATAGTTGGGGTTATTTTTTCCAATGTGCATTACTTTACACTTATCCACATTAAATTTCATTTGCCATTTTGTTGCCCAATCACTCAGATTGGTGAGATGTTTTTGAAGTTCTTCACAGTCTGCTTTGGTCTTAACTGTCCTAAACAGTTTAGAATCGTCCGCACCTCACTACTTACCCCTTTCTCCAGATCATTTATGAATAAGTTGAAAAGGATTGGTCCCAGGACTGACCCTTGGGGGACACCACTAGTTACCCCTCTACATTCTGAAAATTTACCATTTATTCCTACCCTTTGTTTCCTGTCTTTTCACCAGTTCTCAGTCCATGAAAGGACCTTCCCTCTTATCCCATGGCCATGTAATTTACACAAGAGCCTTCGGTGAGGGACCTTGTCAAAGGCTTTGTGGACAGCCCTAATCTGGGCATTTCCCATGATTCAAAGTGTGATGACAGGGCAGCCACACAGCAGTGGGGAGCTGTGCTGCACTGGCAGAGTGGGGTCACAGGCCTACTGCGTGTCAAGTGTGCTTAAACGGTGGTTAAAGTACCTGGAGCTCTGGCCAGGGGCTTGTGAGTGTTACAAATCCAAATACATCAACAGCTTGATGAATCCCCCTCTGAATGCGGGGGGCTGATAAGGAAAAGCCAAGTTCCACCCAGTCTGCTTCAAAGGGAAGAGACTAATTTGCTTTGATTTTTCTATTTGAAGTGCCTAAGGTGCTTGGCACCCACAGCTTCTGATAAGCCGGTGGGGCCTGTGGGCACTCTGTCATGCTGAGGTATGTGACACATCTTTCTTGACAGACAGGATCAGCAACTCACTATGCACACAAGCCAACAGCATCACAGCAGGAAATAAAGGCAGCTGGTGGTAGACTCTGAAAATAGAACTTGCTTCATTACCCCTGTATGCCATGGACCCAGCCAGCCTCCCAGCTTTGCACTGTAGCCCGACAGGTCATCTTGCTTGTCCTCTGAGATGCCTGTATACAGGGCAGAGAAGGAGCAATAAAAAAAAAAATCAGCATAGCCATTAAGCTTTGATGCGAGATCAGGATATGCAAGCTTCTCTGACCCTGAGTAAGCTGAAAACATAGATATGAGGAGAGAACAATTAAGGCAATAAACTGAGCTCAAGGCTGCAAGAACTGCCTCAGCTGGCACCCATGTCGATACGATCACACACAGCCGTCCCTGGGAGAGGAATCTCCCACTGAGAAAAGAATCTCCAGTACTTCCAATTTAGTCCTCTCTCTTACAAGTGTAAATTAAGTTCACAACTCCCTTGTAAGAACTGGCGTCACAAAGAACAGACCAGTACCATTTGGCATCACAGATAAGAAAGAAAAATACGTGACCCCATGGGTATAAAGATGGGTCCAGCAGCACACTCACTTTGTGTCAATCTACCCTCTACCTGCTGGTCGGGTTAGGTGTTTGACCTCCTGAGGTCCACGGGGACGCCCACCTCGTATTTTCGTCTTTCCGAGGAATTGAGGGACTGATCCTGGCCTGACACGCTGGGACCGAGCGACGCAGAAGGGGGTAAAAATTGTACTCGTATGTGTCCTTTTGTTTTAGTGCATGCATAGAATAGAGCTCTTTAAAGATTAAGCTGTCACTTGGTACCATTATTTCTATTTTCTATCTTTATTTTCTTTGTAACCATTTTTAAGATCTATATTGGCTAGCAGTTAAGAAATAGAGCAATAGCCATTGTAATCATATGATTTACAAGCTTCCTTAATAAACCTGTAACTGTTTAAGCTTTAACTTGACTCCTTCAGTTGCTGTAACAGAACCAAGCACAGTTTAAAAGAACTTCAGCCGGTCATAAGGGACGGGTATAGGAAGAGCTTGGGCGTTTGGATTGTGTCACTCCCAGGTGACAGTTCCGTTGGGGCATCTCTCAGTCTTCCCTAGACTGCCCACTGCGAAGGGATCCTGTGTCCTAGCAGCTAAAATCTGAGATGTAATAGGCTCTTCCTATAAACTCAGGGTGTCTGTCAGCCTGTTGGCTGCCTTCTGTGACGGGGCCCTGGTCCTAGCAGTAAAGTCACGGACGTTAAACCTTTTTCTCGGTAACACACACACACACACACCCTGCCCTGACCGTCGGCTGCCAAGCACTCAGCCACATGGGGGTGCAAAGAAAGAACCCACCAGAGACACGGCCAGTGGAGAACAGCCTATATTCCAACCTGGGGTAGGGTGTTCCTGCCCAGCCAACGAGCCCTATTCTCTAAGCCTTCTCGCTCCCTGAAAATTCAGAGCCAGTGGTAACTGCACATGCTGCTGGATCCAACTAGCCCCTTCAGTGTCCATGCTATTGTACGGCAAATTAACAGTGCCAAATGTCTCAGCCCTTGTGCCCGAAGCCTGACAGTCTACACACTTCTCAAGTGGAAGCAAGCATCTTAGGAGCGACGGGTGCACAGAAATTTCACTCCACCTGCCTGCTAAAGCAGTGTAAAGGACCTAGGCCGTACACTCTCCAAACCATCCAGAGAAGACAGCCGAGTCCCCAGGCGATGAGGCAGTGCGGGGTACTGCCCTGATTCCATGGCAGTGATGGAAGATACGGGAAGCAAGTTGCTGTGCGAAGCTGGCCAGAGGCCCTTTGGCTCCGAGGGAGGAGACTTGACAGCAACTTGACTCTTTCTGAGCAACCCCTGCACAGGCACCAAAATCCTCCACTTCCTTCCACCCAGACAGGTTCCTGGAGGAGTTTTATTGAACAGTTCCAGGACAAAGGTCCTTCCTCCACTGAAATAAGCCCTTTTATGGTCCCCTTTCTCTCTCGCCTCAACAGCCACCCCTGTTCCTGCTGCTCTGCTGTAGCCTGTAGGTTGATCCTCATTGCCCAGTCACAGCAGCAGAGAGCCGCGTGCAACTGGTCCGAGGCCTCTCCTCAGCTAAGCCATAGGCATGAGCGAGAGCTCACCAGCCACTGGCTCAACCTTGTCCTCGTCTGCCTGCAGGTCACACGCCCCAGCCCCGACCAGCAAGGAACTGCTCTCCTAGGACCAGGCCCCGTCTGTCTCAGAGGACTTGGGACAATTAGAATGAGGAAGATCCCAAGCTGGTAAGAAGCATCCTAGCTACAGTCCTTGCTGCAGACATGACACTTCCCTGGACCTAAAGTGTGGGTTCCAATCTGGGTTCCAATGGGTGTGCATACACACACAAACACACAGATTACAGTGTGCTGGGTTCCAATGGGTGTGTGTACACACACCCGTCAGTGTGCTGCATTCAAATGGGTGTGTGTACACACGCACAGGTCATAGTGCGCTGGGTTCAAATGGGTGTGTACACACTTGCACAGGTTGCAGTGTGCTGCATTCAAATGGGTGTGTACACATGCATAGGTCACAGTGCACTGGGGTCAAATGGGTATGTGTACACATGCACAGGTCACGGTGCACTGCATTCTGTACACGCACAGGTTGCAGTGTGCTGCGTTTAAATGGGTGTGTGTACACACGCATAGGTCAGTGCTGCGTTCAGATGGGTGTGTACACACATGCACAGGTCACTGCACTGTACACATGCACAGGTCAGTGTGCTGCGTTCAAATGGGTGTGCGTACACACGCACAGGTCAGTGTGCTGCATTCAAATGGGTGTGTGTACACACGCACAGGTCAGTGTGCTGCATTCAAATGGGTGTGTGTACACACGCACAGGTCAGTGTGCTGCATTCAAATGGGTGTGTGTACACACGCACAGGTCAGTGTGCTGCATTCAAATGGGTGTGTGTACACACGCACAGGTCACTGCACTGTACACACGCACAGGTCACTGCACTGTACACACGCACAGGTCACTGCACTGTACACACGCACAGGTCACTGCACTGTACACACGCACAGGTCACTGCACTGTACACACGCACAGGTCACTGCACTGTACACACGCACAGGTCACTGCACTGTACACACGCACAGGTCACTGCACTGTACACACGCACAGGTCACTGCACTGTACACACGCACAGGTCACTGCACTGTACACACGCACAGGTCACTGCACTGTACACACGCACAGGTCACTGCACTGTACACACGCACAGGTCACTGCACTGTACACACGCACAGGTCACTGCACTGTACACACGCACAGGTCACTGCACTGTACACACGCACAGGTCACTGCACTGTACACACGCACAGGTCACTGCACTGTACACACGCACAGGTCACTGCACTGTACACACGCACAGGTCACTGCACTGTACACACGCACAGGTCACTGCACTGTACACACGCACAGGTCACTGCACTGTACACACGCACAGGTCACTGCACTGTACACACGCACAGGTCACTGCACTGTACACACGCACAGGTCACTGCACTGTACACACGCACAGGTCACTGCACTGTACACACGCACAGGTCACTGCACTGTACACACGCACAGGTCACTGCACTGTACACACGCACAGGTCACTGCACTGTACACACGCACAGGTCACTGCACTGTACACACGCACAGGTCACTGCACTGTACACACGCACAGGTCACTGCACTGTACACACGCACAGGTCACTGCACTGTACACACGCACAGGTCACTGCACTGTACACACGCACAGGTCACTGCACTGTACACACGCACAGGTCACTGCACTGTACACACGCACAGGTCACTGCACTGTACACACGCACAGGTCACTGCACTGTACACACGCACAGGTCACTGCACTGTACACACGCACAGGTCACTGCACTGTACACACGCACAGGTCACTGCACTGTACACACGCACAGGTCACTGCACTGTACACACGCACAGGTCACTGCACTGTACACACGCACAGGTCACTGCACTGTACACACGCACAGGTCACTGCACTGTACACACGCACAGGTCACTGCACTGTACACACGCACAGGTCACTGCACTGTACACACGCACAGGTCACTGCACTGTACACACGCACAGGTCACTGCACTGTACACACGCACAGGTCACTGCACTGTACACACGCACAGGTCAGTGTGCTGCGTTCAAATGGGGGTGTGTACACACGCACAGGTCAGTGGTAGGTCGCAGTGCGCTATGGAGCAGAGCAGCCCAGCAGCTCAAGGGGGCTGCTCTACCCCCCATGAGCAATGGGATGGCATCTCCACTCCCAAGCCCTTTGCCCCACAGCAGCCAGCCCGGGGAAGGAGAAACCAGCTCCTGCCAGGCCTGGCCCAGGTG